AAAAGATAATTTTTTTGAAGAACTTTGACCATCAATAGCAGAGGAGCCAGACATTTTTTGTTAATAAAAGTTAGGTCAGATCGTCTTTTTTTGGTCCAAAGAATATCGCAGTACCCTTTTGATCATGACCTTACGGGACACCCTGTATATAAATTAAATGCAAAGAAGAATTAAATATTTAAAAAAGCAGCATGGAAATAATGGATTATTTGGAAACTAAAACGTGTTAATTTTAAAGTTAATGTATCTATTTGTATCGATTTTTAAAGAAATTTAAATTTTATTGATACTGTTTAAATTTTCATTTGCGACTGTAACTTACGACTAATATATGATTTAAGGATTTTATTAACTAAAATAAATTAGAATGAAATTAGTCAGGAAAAAACCCACTAAGAAGTTATCGTATAAATCTAGTAAGTTTTCCAGGCTTTTTCACCGCGGTGAAAAATTATTTATTTCTGAAGTTTTGCAAGCTCAAGGGGTTTGCATCTTTGCATTAAGTACAAAGAATTCAATATTTAAAAAAACAACATAGAAATAATGGATTATTTGAAGACTAAAACGTGTTAATTTTAAGGTATATCTATTTGTATCATTTCTTTAAGAAATTTAAATTTTATTTATAGTGTTTAAATATTCATTAGACTCTGTAACTTACGACTAATATAAGATTTAAGGATTTTATGAACTGAAATAAATTAGAATGAAACTCAGGAAAAAACCCAGTGAGACGTTCTCGATGAATCTAGTAAGTTTTTCAGGCTTTGGAAAATAATTTATTTCTGAAGTTTCGCAAGCACAAGTGGCTTAAATCTTCACAGGTGGTTTGTTCAACGTACAACCATACTGGTACTTGTGAAACGTCAGGAACAAATTCCAGGACGTCCTAAAGCCGGTAAAACTCACCAGTTTCAAGCTAAAGCGAAAGCTTAAACCCTTAAGAACGTTCTCGTATGCCTATAACTTTTCTGAACTCCAGTTTTCGTGTGGAACCCTATACGTCGATATTCATCAATCGATTAGAACGAAAAGAACGCAATTAACACCCCCTCTAGTGAAATGCTACGTTTGCACGACATAACTCATAGAGGAATTATTCGACTGTTATTAATAACATGACCAAGTGGAACCAAACATGGAGATTTTTGACAAAAAAAACTTTTTTAACTCCATTTTTATAAAGAATTTAATTCATTTAAAATAACTAGTTCACAGAGCGTGTAAAAAACGCCTGTTTTTTACACGCGTTTGAGAAGAAGTTCTGAGCAGAAATTGTTAGTGTTAAGCAAATTGATATTGTTAGGTCAATTTCTAAACTCCTTTCAGGGCAAATACCAGATCGGTGTTACAATTGGCAATTAAAGCATCCAATTGCGACTTTCGGAAACGCCAATCACTTCGTAACTTTTTCGGGTGAGAGAGAGTAGCGAAGTTCGCAAGTTAAATAATTCTTTGCTTAACGGAACAGGCCAGCCTTGTGCAATAATTCGAAAACTTAGGTTTCTCCGTTTAATTGCCGGAGTTTAATTGAAGCAGCGAAGTCGAACTCCTACCCCAGGTCACGCCAACGGGTGTTTGACCTTCGATAACTTCAAGAAAACGAATATTAGGATCTGATAGGGGCTCACGTATAATTGACTACCTTGATAAGGGTTCTTTGGCGCTTTTTAGGAGTAAACTTTACTTTATTGGGGGATTGGAAGTGAAGGAGTGTCGGGAGACGAAACTGGAATGGCCAGAAAAATTGCGCTATTTAAAGCAGATACTACTAAACCAACTGTACAGGTTGAAACGTTTAAAATCGCGTCGAAAAAAGCTGTATAAATATATTGAACTGAATCTCATAGAGCTTTAGCGCTAAAACTGAAGTAATAAAATAAAATATAGAATCCAGGTCGATACGACCTGAAGGGCTAGGTTAGGTCGGGACTTGATGGTTCGTGATTACAATACAACCAATTTTCTTTTATTGTCCTTATTACCATACGTAGACGATTTACGGTAATAGCAGTTCAAAGCATTTTTCATCAGTTCCTTTCGATCAACTTTTTCTACGATTTTCAATAAATTATTCGACAAAGAAACCATAGAGTAGCGATTTATTGTGCATTAGTGTATGTAGTATTCGATAATTATATTCAACTCAATAAAAACCGACAATAATTCGTCAGATGAACAGGACAGACGGCAAGGAAAACCAAAACACAATATCATAAAAATAACATACAAAAAACAGGTACAGAAGTGGCC